TGTCTCAAATAGAGTGAATTAATACTTAGAAACGAAATTACCATCAGAAAAGCAAGAAGAAGGAGGTAGTAGGGGAGGGGGTGTGCAGATTTTTGGGATATGTATATTTCTTTTTATTTTGCTTCCCTGAGCTAGTCTGCTGATTACAAATTTTATTTCGCCGATTAAATTCTATTTTGCCAAATTAAACTTCGCTCCATCACGTGTCATTTCCTTGTAAACAATCTGCATTTAATCACGTATTCTAATCGCAATGTCCAACCCCACTGGAAAAAATTCACACTAAGTAGTGCTACCAATAGTAAACTTTTAACGCAATTCTCCCGCGTTTTGATTTTTTCTACGAATAAACTCGGCTTTTAACTACCTTGAACTTAATCCAATCGCGTGTTTATTCCTTGTAAACAACCAGCATTTTATAAAGTATTTCACACACAGAGGGCAAAGGCCAGATAGGCAACAACCAATCAAGGAGCACTCTCTCAAATATTATCCTTTTCTCTTGTGAAATGTATCTTCATTGGTCGAGATCGCAATATATCTTTGGTTAGAGTCTATTGGAGATACAACAGAGTTTCAGTTTGATTTTCGTAGTAGAATTACATGGAATTATATTTTTCAGGCATCTAACTGTAGACGAATAATTGTGATTCTCTCTCTGGTAGAGGAACGGCAGTAAGCGTGGTCTCTTTCGCAACTATTATTTGGTCTCATCACGCTACGCGCTCTCTTTCCGTCGGGGAATAGATGGCGTTGTGTGACGAGACCAAACAACTGCTGCAAAGAAGAAAACAGTAAGCGTGGCACCGATCCATTTCATTTTTGCTTAGAAGTATTTAGACAACAGAAAAAATAGACCACAAGATACCTGTGTGAGTTAAGCTAAATTACCTTTTTTCTCTCTTTCTCTTAAGGCGAAGTAATGCAATATTTTCGATCTTTTATAAAGTTATGCTCTTTTTCTGTTACAAAAATAAAAACATCAGGTACACAAAGTGTCCCATCTCATCCCACCCAGTCAAAAAGAATAAATCTTGCATGCTACGCATGCCTATGTTTTTACTTGGAAGCCAGAAAATTCCCAATAAAGTAGTTTAGTGCAAGTGACATTAATGCATGAGTATCACCTTGCTTTCGTGAGCTGTACTGAGAATATTGGCACTATGACATTTCTATACTGCCGTAACCTTGGGCCAATATTCCCTAGTAAAGACTCGTGCTCGAATGGTCAGTAAGAAGTTAGTGCTGGCTTTCGAAAATGTGATCTACACTGTACATGTATCTAAGGCTATTTTGAATTCCAGAACAATTGATTTCCTTGTTCCTCTACATTTCTTTAAATTTTTTGTACGTGAAGACAGCCAGCAAGGATTTTATGATATTTGAAAAACAACAAGTCTGGATTATCAGGATAGTTAAAGTTAGCATCAGAGACAAAACAATTCTGTGCACAAAACAGTGTAAACGTGAAATGATTGCAAAAACAATTAGTTTAATATACATATACGGTAAACCACAAACATCAGCACCTGTACCAAATTGAAATCCATATCAACATACATCAGCATGCATTAGTGTATATATTTCATTGTTTTTCCTGTCATAAGTGTCCAGTTGAACTAACAGCCAGCTGCACACATATGGATGTCGGTTAAACTGGAGGAAATTGAATAAAAAACTTACACATTTTGTAAGTTTTGACCAGTAATCCCTATTTAAAAAAGAGCTACGAGAATTTTACTTTGGTTTTGCAAAAGTTGTTTCTTATGAGAAAGGATTCACCATAAACTCTCCCCTTTTGTGGAGACATGGTGGCCTTATGATTAGTGAGGTGGAGTCAGGGTCAAGAGATCTGCATTTGTAACCTGGCCAGGTCATGTGTTTTTGTGCAAAACAATTTACTCTCATAGTACCCCTCTCCACTCAGGGGTATAAATGGGTACTAGAAATTAGTCAGGGGAACCTGATGAAATGACAGGAGGGAAGAGGGAGGGAGGAGGGGGGGAACCATGGGGTGGACTGTCATCATGTCTGGGGAGGAGTAGTAATACCAAGTCGCTTCATGTGAGGAATCCAGGATTATAAGCTCTGGGCCTGGATGGGCCACTGTTTAAATACAGACTTTATCTTACTACCTACTACAGCCTCTGCATGGTTTAAATAATTTCGATTGCTTCAGTTACGAATTATACGAACTTGCAACATACAGATGATGATTTTTTGCCCAATTTATCTCAGTCAATTAGGACTGTCTTTTGTAAATCTTGAAATTTTAAAAAATCCGGACAGAGGCGGAGTTTTCTATACTAATGTCTGAGCACTTTGTAGGCTTCCCACAATATGGCGGGACGCGTAATTAAGCACACAGTGGTAAAGGGCCCTTCCGCAGTAGCTACAAGACGCTGACAAAACTTTCTCCTCTTCACCGAAAATCACATCAAAATTTGTCTTTGCTAAATTTCAAGTGTGCTGCACGTATCAGCACCCCCCGGGGAACCCCTATATATAAGAAGGCGAGGATGCGCGCCGGAATTTCGAAAACGACCCCTATAAAATTATAAAAGGTACCTGAGTCTTATCCGTGTGGGAGTGGCAACAACAGATATCTACCCCTATAAAGTACCAATTTAAACTCAAAAAAATTGAAAATCCATAAAAATAAGAACTTCTTTATCGATGTGCTTTACAGGCTCAAGTCAGATCATTAAAATGGTCCTAGTGCTTATTAAATGCTTATGTCAGGTATTTTATTGAGCGAAAAACATCTTAAAAGGTACCAGCTAGGTCACTGGCAGTCCACTAAAGTTGGAGACACCACTAAAGGTACCAGATCACTGATTTTGACCCCTGAAAGGTACGACAAGCATCCTCAGCCATTTCTGATCGCCTCCTCCCCCACCTCCCCCACCAACCCTGTCAGCACCTAAAAACAAAAGATGTGATTTGCCAACTACGAGCTGTCAGTCTCACCTCGTAAAATTCACGTAAAGTGGTTATTTACCTATAAAAACTTTAGGCACTGATCTGTCAGATTTTTATGCTCACAAAATCTGTCCTGCTTTGAGGCAGGACGGCTGTACTTTTTTTGTTTTGTTCGTCTTGACATAATTTGGTAGGGATTAAAATAACTGTACGTCTGCTAAACATTGTTAAACAGACTTTTCAGGTGCATCCGGAACTTGATCTGTGCACTTCTAGTGCATGAAGTATTCTTTTATAACATAGCCAAAGATCTCGCGGTGTCTACTGTTCAAGCCTTTTTCTCTTTTCAAAGAGGCATCAGAATTATTTTCATGTCAAATATGCAGTAAACTGCTTGCGTGTCATACTTTGTTTTCAAGGTGTCCGACCAGGTATGACTGAAAAGTTGTAGGACCTGATAGCATCTTAAGGCTCAATGGAAGAAGACAAATCGTGTAATTGGCAAAAGACCCCCCGGCATCAAAAATCTAATGGTCCGTCAATAAGGTACCTTTTACATTATTCCAAAATGGGTTTCATTCCGGAATGAAATTAATTTCATGCCGCGTTTACATGCAAGATAATTTAGATTATAAAAACAAGTAGTAAAAACAAGTATTTACGTCCTTTTTCTACGCTTCCCTCGCTCCTAAAGAGGATATACAGATATGAGTGTCGTACCGCGTTTACTTTACACAGGTACAAAAGGTCGTCCAGAATAAGTGTTTCGTTCTGAAATGAAAACCTCAATAAACTCATTCACAAATGACTCCTTTCGAATAATTTTTCTCTGGTATCATGCGACAACCGGGATGAACTCGTTCTTGAACAAAACTCATCCCGATATCATTTAAAAGGCCCCAAAGAGTTTTTATTCCCAGAGCATCATGCTTTTTTCCCTGCCAGAACACTATAAATTTCATCGCGTTGAAGCAACAACCCGCTTTGAACTGCTACGCTGCCACTGAAACAACGATTAGTGACCACAAAAGTAACATACTGTAATATTGTCAATTCAACATAAACAAAAATCTTCATACAGGGTAAATATTCATTTGTGTTGGTATCAATTATTGCGTGACTAGCTTCTAATATAACTGGGATAGGGGAAAAACACAACGTACAAGCTGAGCTCCCGGCAAAAAGCAATACCCAAGCGTAATATAATGACCGAAACAGTTATTGGTCTTATAAAATCATAAATAAACTAGGTAAGAGTGTTGCGTTAGATTTTTTTTTACAAATTGTAGTGATTTATGCCTCGATATGTCAATAAAAGGTGGCGACAAGTAGGCACACAATGTATATTTCATAGTCGCTAGCAAGTAAATTTTGCCGGACTTTGAGTTCGTCTCACAATAGAACAACACAATTGCACAAGAAAATTTTTACAGTAACTCTATAACCATTCTTTTTTCTTTTAAAAGCTAGAAGCTCAGTAGATTTTGTCATATCGGTCGTTGTTTAAACTGTCTTTGTTTTGATGCTACTTTTCGACATAGAAAAAGTATGTCGGACAAAAATAGTTACCAAAAAATAAATATTTCTTTGCCATCCTCAATAATGTCAGGGGATTAGGTTTAATTGATAAAACAAAGGATTATGCCGACAGAAATACCGGAGGTCGAGTAAATTCGTTACATGAGGTCACACAACTCGGGTAATATTCAGAGTGAAAATTTGCATATTTGAGCGGTCCAACGAAAAAAATCATTTCTCAAAAACTAAAATGTATTTTCACAAAAAAACTACACCACAATTATTAGGACATATTGGGCTACAAAATATGAAAGTAGGAGAGAAAACGAATTTGGGTGACTTGCCGCCGTTTGTCTGATGCATGTTGACATTAGCTCTTAATTGGCTTCTGATTTTGTGCCTATGTATCCCTCCCATTCTCAGAAGGGAAAAGATATTTATTTTGCAACTGGGTAATAAGTTGAGCTGATGTTTATAACCATTTTCAATCACCTTTTTTTCAGACTAGGATGACATAAAAGAACAACTTTGTACGAAGCATCAGTCTTCTTACAGTTGCTATGGCTACAGGAAGAAGTTCAATTAAAGTTCCATGTGAAAATGAAGACTTACCTGACAAAGAAAATGCACCAGATTTTGACGAGGACACTTTACGAGGTGAGCTAGGTTCAACTTCGGCTTCAGTAATTGTTAGGACAATTTCTATTCGATCAGGATCAGTTTCAAGAATGCAAGCAGATGTGGAAAAGGATATATACAGTGTATGACCACCTTAAAGGATATTTGGCCAATCATGACTCTCTTCTATGATTACAATATGCTGTTCATTGGGAAGATCTATGACACAGAAACTTTTGCTATTTTCTTTTCTAACAGTTCAAAACAAAGTTATAATAAGTTAAGACTTTATTTGATCATCATATAACATCCATTGTGTAAGTTTGCATCATAGGTACCATCATCATCATCACCATCATCTTTCTATTTTAATGAAACACAATCACTTTGAAACCTTCAACATTCCCTCCCTTCTCCTCGAGCAACCCACAGGTATTTGATCTTCATCCAAGCCAAAGAGGGTGGGGGAGGGGGGGTTTAACCCTGCCTGACTGGCGTTAGGGAATTTGAATAAAAACTGTCACATCTAATTTCCAGTAGAGTACAAGTGTTAATTATCATTGAATATGGAGGTGTTTAAGATAGATAATGTACTTTCACTAACAAATGGCTCAGAAGAAATAAGGCTTCAAGATCTAGGTTTTTAAGCTTGGTCAATTAGTTTTTAAAGCTTGATCAACTAGTTGAAAGTCAAATTGCTAATTATTTCGCCTTTTACATAAAATTGTGTGGGGCATTTGAATATTTTATTAATTTTGCCCAGGGAATGAGAATTTTAGGAAACCTATCTCAAAAAATTTAGATGCCCAGGGGTTTGCCTCAAGTTGAGTGATGCTTAATTCTCATTGTTATTCTTACCCATGATGTCACCTACATCATTGGCATCATCATAACTATTGAAAATCTTGTCAGCTCTGATTAGACACTAATAATTATTAGCTATGACCACAGACTTTGACACCCATTTTTAATTTTTTTTTTCGAATTATTTTATTTTTTCTTTGCAGCCATAGCTGATGTTTATAGAGATGAGGGTAATGAGGCCTTCAAGAAAGGAGATTTCATCAATGCTATTCATTTTTACACCAAAGGAATTAAAATGAACTGCAGCGAGAAAGAACTGAACGCCAAACTGCACAACAACAGGGCTATTGCACATTCTAAACTTGGTAAGATGATGAGAGCTTTAATAGGCATTTTTTTTCTATTTTGAAGCTATTGAGTTGTCAGTAGTAGTTTTCTGAAAAAGGTGATAATTTTGAATGCATGCCCGGAAAAATTTACGTCTTATCTTGGCCTCTCAAATATACAAAGAAGTAACCTCTTACCCCAGATATCAATGAGCATCACAAGTTTTTCCCAAAATTATAGTAATGGTAGTTGGTTTGCAACATGTATGGCTAATCAGAGATATTTATTTCAATAAAATAGGAAATCACCAGGATTCACTAAGGGATGCAGAAGCAGCCATTGAGTTAAATCCAACTTTCCTTAAGGCAATTGTGAGAGGTTAGATATGTTCGCTGTGCTATAATAATAATAACAAAAGAACTCAACACTCTATGGTTAAATGAGGTTAAATGGAGTTCAATCTTGTCTCAATGGACTTTAATTAAGAGGTCGAGACCACCCTGATGTACATTTGAATCCAGCTCTTGCCTGTTAAGCCATTACTTTCCATTAATCATGATAAGAATATTATTTTTAACGGGATGAAGAACTCAATGCGGAATGCAAAGCAAAATTTCAGCATGAATATTTTAGTTCCTTAAGTCCAATGAGTCACAGGTGTCAGATATGTTAAGAGCGTGTCCACGAGAGCACCGGGCAGTCGTGCTACAAGTCATCTCACCGATTTCAATGAAACTTTGGTAGTTTAGAGGATCTACCCCAAAACTCAAAGAGACAAACTGGTGTCTGTTTTGGTTCTTCCGGGGGGAGATAGACCACCCCCGGTTTTTCTTGGTTTTCACCAAGGAAATCGCTTCAAATAGGTAAAATGTATGAAGCTCTCACGGCGATGGTATCTAACCGATTACTTTGAGGATTTGCACACATATTTTTACATCCTTAATTAATGCCTGCTGCGAGTATCAGTCAGTTTGATCGACGGCTTGTCAATCAACAGAGGCAAATATACGACTTTGGTTTTAGACTTTTATAAATAACAAATATCTCCCGTTGCCAGAAAGCTACAACACTAATCCTAATTCCCCTTTATAACCCATCATTTCATATCTGAAAATCATCAAAAAAACCTTTGGGTACTACCGTATGTTTTCTTAGATGCCTTTTAAAATCTGCGAATGTGACAAGTTTCTCTCAACTACACCTGTCACGCAATTCTTGCTCTAGGCGGTCTCTTGACAAAATAAACCTACATTTTTTAGCTCTTTATACAAGATGATTGATCAAGAAAGGTGAAAAATGTGGAAAACTTTCGAGATTTTTTGTAGGAATGGAAAATTTCACGTTTAGAGAGATGCATGTAAACGAAAAATCAATGGGGAAATCGTAGCGTTCTTTCTCCAGTCGTTTATTACTTAGAAGATTTGCTAAAATCAGCAGATATGGCTTTTGTACGGCACAAAACATTCATTAGTCTATAATATAATTGTTAATCATCATCATTGCTCATTTTATTTCATGCTGCGTGTTGGATGATATTACTAATTGTTCCAGTGTGCTAGGGTTAGAGATCTAGATCGAGTGTTGCCGGCGTTTAATTGCGTGACTTGTAAAATTTTTAAATAAGAATCTAAGCCGGCGGTAATTTGACAAGTAGCCTTCCTGCAAATTTCCCTTGATGAAATCCCAAGACATAGCCAGTTGTTTTCGTGAGCAAAGACAATAAATATGAGAGAAAAGCGAGATGCAAATGTCTTCTTTTTTTTTAGCTTAATAACATATTTACCCTCTCCTGCAGTCTTCGTCTAAATTGAAGTCTCTCTTTATCTTCTGCCTTGTTCGGTCAGTTTCGAATTCTGAAGCTAGATCATTGGCATCGGCCTCTCCTTCCTTATTCATATTTACAGAGGGGGACCTCGTCAATAAACCAATTTTTGTTACGGCAGATAACCGGCTGAAGTATCGAGCGATTTGCTGCTGTATCAACCGGTAAGTCTTAGACAACATTTCTGGCTGGTGTCGTCTCTTAAACTCGATATTTGGGAAATCACACTAGAGGCAGTTGCCTTACTAGTTTCCTCCCTTGTCCAGCACACGTCTAGGAGATAATTATCTGCTTTCTGAGAAAAGGTGGCTGTTTTTTGTGTTTTCCAAAGAGCCCATCCAAAGTCCACTTGGTTTGTTAGGGATTGTTCGTCAGAATTTTTACCTGAGGTCCGACCTCGAACGTAGCCGTCCCCTATAGAATGGCAAGCCGATCTTAGTCCATTTCCTCTTGATCTTATCCTAAGCGGGATTTTTTTGTCGGCTTCACTGTCTTTGTCTTTGTCAGGGTACATTTGGATGGCAGCCAATGACTGAAACGTCTTGATACATCCTTCTTTTAGCAAGAATATCTCGCTTTCTTGTTCCGTCTATGACGGATTGGGTATAGTTCTCGCGATGACCCGCGTTCAGAAATATGTGCACGTTGCTGATAAGCACCCGCTTCTACGACTAGTTAGCTGAAAGTTTCTAATGTGATGAGCCTAGTGAGACACTGAGGTGCTTCAAACTGTGCCAGTTGGTCTGCGCTATAAACTTGTCGCAGTTCTTAAGTCAGAGGGAGGATCGCCCACCTCTATCTATGTGAGCGCCTCTACAATACCTGCGTATCCCTAGCAATCATATGATATAAAGTTCATCTCAGTCACAAATCACCAGTTAGGAAAACTGATGTTCAGATAAGCGCTCTTCTTGCCCTTCTCCTTATTCATTGTCGACTTTAAGATAGCAGCTACAGTGCGCGTTCTATTTAGGTTTACAGTCACCTTGCTGCCACCAGAAAGACTCGCCACCAGCTTTGATTTCTTCTGCCATCTGTAGATTCATCTCTGTCTCACTTTATATTTATATTATATTTATATTTTATTTATAAAAGGAGAAAACATAGGAACCCGTGTTGCAGCGTGCAGATATCTTTTGAACCAGACCTACACACATAAGCCCCACACCAGCCAGAGAAACTCGAAAGAGTCTTGTATATGAACTAGCTCGCACATGCACGCAGGAAAGGCCATGAAAATCAGCGAAAATAATAGCAAATGCAGATGACATTTGCAGTCAAAAAACAGGAAAATAAGATAACAGAAGGATTAGGAACTTTCTAGAAGTGCCTTCTTGAAAAAAAAGATGAACAATTTTTACTTCTCATAAAAGGTCACGCAGTGACCCTACAAATACTATTCCTATACGTGGAATTTCTTGATGGTGGAAAGTGGAAAAAACATTTTCCATTCTTATTTTCTGGAAACATGGCGTAGTTAATGAATTCATGGGGCTATTGATATTTCCTAACAAATAAGGAGGGCAGAGTTTCCCGTCAGTCGCGGTATGGAAAAGCCGAAGTTGTTACACTCGGGAACTTTTACGTCAACAAGCAGGCGACATGAGACTTCAAAATCTCCTCTCCTGTTACAGTTTCCTTATTGTAAACTGTGCGATAATGATAATAGACGATCAAAGTATAGTCTAATGAATTTTTTGTTCTGTACAAGAGCCCTATGTCCTGATTTTAGCAAATCTTCAAAGTAAGAAAGGACTGAAGAAAGAAACGCTACGATCTTCCCATTGATCTTCCGTCAACATGCATCTCTCTAAACGTGAAATTTTCCATTCCTACAAAAAATCTCGAAAGTTTTTCACAGTTTTCACCTTTCTTGACCAATAAACTTGTATAAAGAGCTAAAAAATGTAGGTTTATTTTGTCAAGTGACCGCCTAGAGCAAGAATTGCGTGACAGGTGTAGTTGAGAGAAACTTGTCACAATCGCAGATTTTAAAAGGTATCCAAGACAAAAATACGGTAGTGCCCAAAGATTTTTTTGATGATTTTCAGAGATGAAATGATGGGTTATAAAGGGTAATTAAGATTAGTGTTGTAGCTTTCTGACAACGGGAGATATTTGACCTCAAAGTTGTAAAATATTTAGATGAATCGAAAAGTCTAAAACCAAAGTCGTATATTTGCCTCTGTTCATTGACAAGCCGTCAATCAAACTGACTGATACTCGCGGCGGCCATTAACTAAGGATGTAAAAATATGTGTGCAAATTATCAAAGTAATCGGTTAAATACCATCGCAGTTAAAGCTTCATACATTTTACCTATTTGAAGCGATTTCCTTGGTGAAAACCAAGAAAAACCGGGGGGTGGTCTATATCCACCCGGAAATAACCAAAACAGAAACCAGTCTGTTTTTTTGAGTTTTGGGGTAGACCCTTTAAACTGACAAAGTTTCATTGAAATCGGTGAGATGGCATGTAGCGTGACTACCCGGTGCTCTCATGGACGCGCTCTTAAGTCACTATCTAGCTGTTTTAAAAAGAAGGATCAGGACTTACCTAACTTTTAGTGTTTTTGTGGGAGTTGTTGATCCCAATTTAAGTGTTCTTAGAAGTTTCAGTTGTCTGTAAAGCAAAATAAATCTAACTGAAACCTAATAGGGCCTGTTTATTCTTTTCCGTTTAGTTTTTTTGTATTGTTTTGTTTTGCCTTTTTTTTTTCTTCTGGTCTGTGATGATTTCAATGGTTTCGGGTTCTTTTCTCAGAATTGAGCTACAGTAACAGTATGCTTCTTTGTGTTGTTGCCTACAGGAGCCGCTGCTTCTATTGAATTGAAGAGATTTGAAGAAGCAATCACTTGGTGTGATAAGGGACTAGCTGTATCCTTTAAAGGAATCTTTCATTTTTAACCGTGGGTATAATGGAAAAAAGTTTCCATAATTTGATGTTTCAAGGGAGAAAATACAAAGAAGGGTATTAATTATGATGGGAACTTGTCAGCTCATATACTTTAAGTGTGTGTGATTAAAAACATAGGAGAAGTTATTACCTCATGACTTATTAATGAAATTACTCCTTTTAGCCAATTTGACTTAGTTCTACTATCCATGCCAATAACTGGTACATTAGTTTAAATAACCCTTTAATTTCCCAGACCAAATGTGTAATTATTCTTACTGTCAACCATACAATTCTTGTAATGTTAGTACAGAGAATTCAGTATTGCATCAACTAACTATTTTTAAATTGATATATTTTTTTTTACTCTCAACACTTATCTGATTGATATTGTATTGCTATTGTACGGAGAAATTCTCTTTTGGTCACTCACGGGAGTGAAAGGGTTAGAAGACTAATATTCATCCAGTTTATACATGGTACTTGGGTAGATGATCTCTCTAAAACAAGCCAGAACAAAAAGCTCTTTAATGTTTACATATCTTATGCAGATTTTCTGCCTTCGACCTTTTGCCTCTACTTAGAGACTCCGAAACTTTCGTTGTGCTTTCCTATGGACAAATAAAAATTTTAAAGATATGTATTTATTTTATGTATTTTTGTTTTTTCCACATTTTTAACCCTTAACATAAAAAAGATTGACAAAAACAATAGGATCTTCTCGTCATTAAGACTTCAGTCTGTCAGTGAAGTGGGAGATAAGTCCATGGAGGAAAAAGATCCTATTAGTCATGACCACGGTAGTGCAAGTTCAGGTGATGTCAAGAAAGTCATAGATCTCTATAATCAGGGAAAAGAAGCCATAGAGTACCACAACCTAGATCTTAAAATAGCTAAAGAAGTAGGAGACAAGCATGGGGAGGGTGGTGCTTATGGCAATCTTGGCAATGCTTATCGCCGTCTGGGTGATTTCAAAAAAGCCATAGAGTACCACAACCTACATCTTAAAATAGCTAAAGAAGTAGGAGACAAGCATGGGGAGGGTAACGCTTATGGCAGTCTTGGAAATGCTTATCACCGTCTGGGTGATTTCAAAAAAGCCATAGAGTACTACAACCGAATTCTTAAAATCGCTAGAGAAGTAGCAGACAAGCATGGGGAGGGTGGTGCTTATGGCAATCTTGGCAATGCTTATCTTAGTCTGGGTGATTTAAAAAAAGCCATAGAGTACCACAACCTACATCTTAAAATAGCTAAAGAAGTAGGAGACAAGCATGGGGAGGGTAACGCTTATGGCAATCTTGGTATTGCTTATGACAGTCTGGGCGATTTCAAAAAAGCCATAGAGTACCACAACCTAGATCTTAAAATAGCTAAAGAAGTAGGAGACAAGCATGGGGAGGGTGGTGCTTATGGCAATCTTGGCAATGCTTATCTTAGTCTGGGTGATTTAAAAAAAGCCATAGAGTATCACAACCTACATCTTAAAATAGCTAAAGAAGTAGGAGACAAGCATGGGGAGGGTGGTGCTTATGGCAATCTTGGCAATGCTTATCTTAGTCTGGGTGATTTCAAAAAAGCCATAGAGTACCACAACCTACATCTTAAAATAGCTAAAGAAGTAGGAGACAAGCATGGGGAGGGTAACGCTTATGGCAATCTTGGCAATGCTTATCACCGTCTGGGTGATTTAAAAAAAGCCATAGAGTACCTCAACCTACATCTTAAAATAGCTAAAGAAGTAGGAGACAAGCATGGGGAGGGTAACGCTTATGGCAATCTTGGCAATGCTTATCGCCGTCTGGGTGATTTCAAAAAAGCCATAGAGTATCACAACCTACATCTTAAAATAGCTAAAGAAGTAGGAGACAAGCATGGGGAGGGTAACGCTTATGGCAGTCTTGGCAATGCTTATGGCAGTCTGGGTGATTTCAAAAAAGCCATAGAGTACCACAACCTAATTCTTAAAATTGCTGGAGAAGTAGGAGACAAGCATGGGGAGGGTGGTGCTTATGGCAATCTTGGCAATGCTTATCACCACCTGGGTGATTTTAAAAAAGCCATAGAGTACCACAACCTACATCTTAAAATAGCTAAAGAAGTAGGAGACAAGCATGGGGAGGGTGGTGCTTATGGCAATCTTGGCAATGCTTATCTTAGTCTGGGTGATTTAAAAAAAGCCATAGAGTATCACAACCTACATCTTAAAATAGCTAAAGAAGTAGGAGACAAGCATGGGGAGGGTAACGTTTATAGCAGTCTTGGCAATGCTTATGACAGTCTGGGTGATTTCAAAAAAGCCATAGAGTATCACAACCTACATCTTAAAATAGCGAAAGAAGTAGGAGACAAATCCTCGGAGGCAACGGCTTACTATTCATTAGGATTGGATTTTGAGTTGCAAGGTAGACTGCCAAAAGCTGTTGAACATTACCAAGCTAGCATAAACTTATTCAATTCCTTGAGAGTACTTCTAATATCTAAAGATGAGTGGAAAGTTAATTTTCGAAATCAGCATCAAGTGGCGTATACGGGTTTGTGGAGAGTTCTCGTAAAACAAGGTAATGTAGATGAAGCCTTATTTGTTGCTGAGAAAGGACGAGCTCAAGCTCTGACCGACCTCATGGAATCCAGTTTTTCTGGTGGAACAAGTCACCACAAGGGAGAAGATGAAGATTGCGCAGTTTTAAAAAACGTTCCATCAAACACTGTCTTTCAGGCAGTGGACCAAGCTAACGTCAATCTTTGGGTTGTGTCCGAAGGAAAACAAGTTCAGTTAAGACAAAGTAAACTCAAAGGTTTTGTTTCAGAGAATAGTGGATCTAGCCTGTCCTTTGAGTCGTTCATGCTCGGTGTCTATACACAACTTGGTGTTCGTTCTAATGTGAGATGCGAAAACCGATCTTTAGATGCTTTGAGGGAGGGCCGTTCAAAAGTGGATGAGAAAACCAAAGAAGCCAAGCCTCAACCTCACATCCAACAAGACGGATGCTTGAGCACTTTGTATGATATCGTTATGAAGCCGGTGGCGGACTTGATTGAAGGGGATGAGCTACTCATTATTCCTGATGGACCCCTGTGGATCGCTCCTTACGCTGCATTGAAGGATGGTAATTCTAAATACCTGTGTGAATCGTTCACAATTCGAGTCGCTCCATCGTTAGCAAGTCTTAGACTCATTGCCGATTGCCCAGATGATTATCACAAAAGCAGTGGTGCGTTACTTGTAGGAGATCCGTGGGTATCCGAGGTTACTAACAGAGAGGGAAAGAAAGTCTTCGAGCAGCTTGAGTATGCTAAAAAAGAAGTAGAAATGATCGGAAAAATTCTGAATATCACGCCGATCACTGGCAGTCAGGCCACGAAACGTGAGGTGTTGAATAGACTCAGTTCCGTTTCCCTAGTTCACTTTGCGGCACACGGATGTATGGAAACTGGCGAAATTGCTCTTACACCTGACCCAGACCGAATATCTACTGTGCCAACGGAGGAGGATTACATTTTAACAATTGGAGATGTGTTGAATGCTCAACTTCGGGCCAAACTTGTTGTGCTTAGTTGCTGCCACAGCGGCCGGGGCGAGATCAAGGCTGAAGGTGTGGTTGGCATTGCGCGCGCTTTTATGGGGGCTGGTGCTCGGTCTATTGTGGTGTCCCTGTGGGCGATTGATGACGAGGCTACTCTTGAGTTCATGAAACACTTTTATCAACAACTTGCAGGAGGTAAACCAGCAAGCGAGTCACTGAACCTGGCCATGAAAAGCCTCAGAGAATCAGACAAGTTCTGCGACATCAAACACTGGGCGCCCTTTTTGCTGTTTGGAGATGACGTCACTCTTGACTTCATGGCAAAGGAAAGAGAAAATTTGAATATGAAATCACATAAATGAAAACTTTTTTATTCCATTTCAAAATTAATGACGCAGGAACTTGGAAGGTTTAAATGCTTCTCTATTTTGGCACTTTTTGGCTATTTTTCATTACTTTTCACTTTTGTGTTAAATGGAACTTGAGATGTGTGACTTTACTTAGGTGAAGAAATAAAACAGACTATTTCAGTATATTTTGTTCAGTGGAATTGCTATTTTTTTACCTTTACAAATTTAGATGCTTCCGAAGAGAACAAGATGCAACAAGGCTTCTGCTGTTAATGCCTGAAGTTGTTGAAGGCGACTACGAGGTTTTCGTTTCGCCAAAATGACACTCAGATCTATTCCTTTATTGCAATCAGTTATGTGTAAAATAATTTAAAGGTTTTTTTTCTTGCACACAACCAGGAGCTTGTCCACCGGGTTTTAATTACGTTGATACTCTAAGCTTTTGATAAGCAAAGAAACAGTTTGTCATTTGCAAAAGGTGGTGAAATTTTAATTTCAAAAATGTGATTTGCAAACTTCGCAGCCATATGTGAATTGATCTTAATGGTTTTTCTACGTCATAAATTACTTTGTTGCAATTTGCAATTATCTTTACAAAAAAAATTGATTATCATTTTCAACTTTTTTTCAATCCATTTTAATGCAATCTAATTCCATCAGTGCCAAGATTGCCATTCTAAGCTTAATTTGAAGAAGTAATCATCAGAGATGATGTTGTTGAATTTACTGACCATATGTTAGAGACATTAGACCTACTCTCAGGGGTGTGGCCAGCCTCTAGTCCCGTGGGCCCAGCCTACAATTGTTTTCCGCCCGCTTGACTTTTCTAATATGACTCTTAATGTTGAAACAAAAATTGAAATTTCTCAGGAAAAAGGCCTACAACAAGTCAAAGAGCTGGCTACAACGGCCTGCTTTCAATCAAACGAGTTTGATCAATTTTAGTCCGTTTTATCAAACACTCGTCAGTTCGTTCTAGAGAACGACGACAGAGACAAATTGTCCATGTAATCTAAACAAGGAAATAGCGAAGCAGAGTTTACTTTAACTAAAGTTTCCATTGCTGTGACTTTTAATGTGTGTGACATGGAATTTGTTGTTTTCATTAGGAAAATATTTACGCCAATAAATTAGGGAAGCACTTGAAGTAGTAAGCCATGTAGTCCTCAATAGGAATTATTTTGGTGAAAATGTTCATGAATAAATGTAAATCTAGGCCGTAGTTAAAAAGGTTCAGGGCTTCAGGATAAAACTTGCCTTTTTTTGAAAATTTCCTGTTCAAATTTTTTTCATGGCTTTAAATTTACCTTAGTATAATTTGGAGATGTCTGATGATATCTTTCTTAGATTTAAGAATTTATACTTAGGTATTCAGAGCACGCTTTGTAATTAGAACCCGTTATGTGGTCAAAAGTTTAGGGTATACTGTATCACAGCTGTTTTAAAAGAAATTTTTGTCAAATCAATGTTAATTTTTGACATATTTTTATAACTACCATTGGTATATGCTTATATAAAATGTAATAGTTAACCTTGCACATGGTTGAATATGATGTAACGTAGGATTTTAAAAACAAGCTGGGACAATTTCGACTAAACATTCTTTTTATAATGTCAGTGTATTTGGTGTGAATTGTTTTGATGCTATTTGTATTTAAAGTTGAAGCTATTTGTTCATTTACCTTAGTTTTTATTCATTAACTCATTAACTCCCAAGTTGTGAAGAAAAATTCTCCCAACTGATAAGAATGTGTTTCTTTGTTGCTTCATTCTGAGAATTTGATGAAACATAACGTTTCTAGTGAAAAATAATCCGCTAGTTTAGATTTTCTCTAATTCTTATTGACACCATGTTTATCGGTGCATTAATTTTGCAAGGAGAATTTAAGTTACGATCAATCTTGGGAATAAATGGGTTCATTTTAGTGTCTCCGTTTAGCGCTTACTTTACTTAATGCCTTGAACGATTTAATGCAGTTTGTATTGTACTTTTTTTTTACTTTTTTGGGTAAGAGAAATAGAGAGTGTATAAAATACAAAAACTGCGTTTGTTTTCATTGTCTGTCTCCATATTCTAAGGATTGGCGTGAGATGCAGGGAGAACAGATCCTACGATGACTTCAATGGTTGTGTTGACCCGCGCGCGCCAAGTTGATAATCTTTGCAGCTGACAGTGTACTGACATTCCATGTTTCAAGCCCCCACCCACTTAACAAACGCTCGTCGGCTCTTCGATTGTGTCTCTTTCCCTGTCTACCGTTCTCCATATTGTCACACGATTTTGAATGCCGAGAGCCGTGTTCATACTGTTACTGTGTGCACCCTTTTTACCTTTTTACACCTTTTCACATTTGTGCATCTCTTTTTTCTCCTTCCTTTTGTTCCTTCCCTTTTTTTCATTGTACTTTTCCTTTATTCCCATTTTTACGCGCACTTCTTTCATCGCCCTCAACTTTATTCTTCTACGCGCTTCATTAGACGCGACTATCTCCTTGTCTGTTTCAGTTTTCATTCGTCTCAATCCTCGCGCAACGTCAGGTCTCTTACAACTCATATACCTCCTTACTTCCCCAGAGTAGTTGTTATTATGCTTATTTTGTTCACTTTAGGATGGTGTCCTCTTAGCATCATGTCTAGTAAAATCTAAGTTTTCCTTTCGACTCATTCCCAGTCCACAGGGGGTCTCAATTTTAAGTCTCACTTGCCAGTGTTTGCTCTCCTCGGTCCTCTCATCACAGTAGCAGCTATAAAACGAAAGAGCTCCCTCCAAGTCTCTGCGACATAATCGATGCATTTTTTGGGAAACGAGTCCTTTAATGTCCAAATTTAGGCCTCACGGAACAGCGTATGCACGTGAGCTAAGGAAAATTTCAGACATGCGCAGAATAGGCCCTTTCCTATGTTTACTTCTCTCCTCAACACTCTTAAATAATCCTGATATCAAAATGTCATCAGCTAACGCTTTTGTTTCACACGCAATCAATAGTGCCTTTATTCCTCTGCCGGTTCCTTTTCATTACATTGTAGATGGTAAAAAAATAAATATTCTAGCATTTCTAAAAGGTAGTTACAATTAAGGCCGCTTGCGTCCCCTTATGGTATTAGTTGCGAATATGACCGTTGTAACAACATAAACCAAAAATTTGCATATGCTAGACTATCGAAGATTGCCCAGATTGCCATGAATTTTTGGCTCCAGGAGAAAATTATATGTATATTCAATATGAAAGAGACCTGTTTCGAAGTTTTTATATGATATAAGAGGGAATTCGAGTGTTTTGGTAATGTTTTTCTTAATGTGACGTGCAAGTCACGTTGGTCACGTAACGCGCCTCTTGAGCTCAAAACGCTTATATAAATCGCTCTAAAAATTAGTGGTTTAAATAGCCCACAAATTTTATTGCAGTTTCTAAAAGAAGAAGCCTTGTTCTTGACAATGGTTATTGTGTCATGGTCAGTTTATGGAGCCATGTGACAATGGCCGATTTTAGTCGCCAAAGTTGAGCTATGTTTTGATGGATGAAATTTCACCTGAATTAGAAAATTCGTAAAAAAAATCGTTTTTAAAGGAATCTTGGGAAAAAATACTTCAGAACCTTTGAAAAATATCTCTTGTTTTAGAATTGTTATGTTGTTTCCGAATTGCTGGCGAAATAAGTTTTTTTCGGCCGTTATCTTTAGGTGCACTATTCCACGTGGAAAACACGGTTATGAACCCCCAAAACACAAAATGCCACCGTTCTCCCAACATAATTTTTTTTCGGCATTTTTTTATATTTTTCCATAACTAAGGCCATTTATACCTATGTTCTGGCAAAGTTTAAAAAAATTTTAATTTTTTCATTTTCAACACCTTTTCTCGATTTTCACAGACGACCACTCTTAAACCACATTTTAAGTTTTATCCAATGCTCTGATATTGTTTACAAAGGATTAATTCGTTTGACGGTCTTCACTGCGGACTCATTTTAGATTTTCAGTTTTTTGAAACAAACGGTTTTGAAACATCTGTTGATGTTCGCTCAATGCAGTCTTTAAATCGAACTAAACGCTCAGCGTCTCGCTCACTTAGAAAAACCGCAGCTTTAAAACGAGCTTTAGTTTCAATAGACAATATCATTCGTTACCTACCTGTGCATTGTGTCGTTTTGGTCGACTGAACTGTTCAGAGGAAAATTTTGCGGCAGATTTCTTCAAAAACTTTCATCACATGTGTAGCATTGTCCACCGATTCGTTCAATAAAAACTCGAATTACTGGAGCTCCAAGAATTTCAATTTTTTATGTCAGGTAGGATTTTACCAAGCGTACACGTGCGTTCGAGAAGGTAGAGCCATTACTTCACGAGAAACTGAACAAATTTAGAATATTATTAACTCAGTATAGGCTATTTAAAGCTCGTTAACTTGTACTTTGCAAAATATATCGTTAATTAATTCAAAATATTCATGATAATCCGTGTAAATGTTTAATTTAATGAAGGATCGATCGCTACTGGAGCAGCAACCCTCTGAAACCGCATCCCGCGTAGTAATAAAAAATGTTATAGTTAATTTTATTTCTTTCGCTTTCTTATAATAACATTCATGAGAGTATAATTTAAGTCAAGAGATTATAAGAGATTACATATCCTCTTGTGCACGTATATCTTTCCTTGGATTAATAATTTATGCATTCAAAAAAAAGTTTAGTAGCATGAAAAATATTTTTTAAAAGTTTTGGTTTGTGTTTCCATTACCTTTCCTTTATTTTGTTTTACGTGACTAGCAAAAAATACTATCGACAGACCTCGAGCAAAAATTTAAGCGACAAGCGTTCTCTATAGGTCAGCTTTGCACTGAAAGTACTTATACGATCATATATAACTCGAGGATGGTCTAACTCCATGGACAGCAAAGTGCTTGTCTGATTGTCTGCTTCATTGCTCGTTTCACCTCACTAATCTTCCAGCAGTAAAGAAACGGGTTT